GTGATCTTAGCTCACTGCAATGTCTGCCTCCCCAGTTCAAGTGATTCTCTTGCCTCAGCCTCATGGGTAGCTGAGATTACAGGTGTACAACACCAGGTCTAGCTAATTTTTTTGTATTCTTAGTAGAGATGGAGGTTTCACCATGTTGCTCAGGCTGGTCTCGAACTCCTGACCCCAAATGATCCGCCTATCTCAGCCTCCCAAAGTCCTGGGATTACAGGCGTGAGCCACTGTGCCTGGCCCATGAAAAGTTTTGATACAGGCATGCAATGTGAAATAAGCACATCATGGAGAATAGGGTATCTGTTTCCTCAAGCATGTATTCTTTGAGTTACAAACAATCCATGACACTCCAAGTTATTTTATCTTTTTAATTATTTATTTATTTTACAGCAAGATAGAGCAGAGTCTTGCTCTGTCACACAGGTTGGAGTGCAATGGTGTGATCTCGACTCACTGAAACCTCGGCTCACTGCAACCTCTGCCTCCGGGGTTCAAGTAATTCTCCTGCCTCAGCCTCCTGAGTAGCTAGCATTATAGGCGCGTGCCACCACGCCCAGCTAATTTTTGTAATTTTAGTAGAGAGGGGTTTCACCATGTTGGCCAGGCTGGTCTCAAACTCCTGACCTCAGGTGATCCACCCACCTCGGTCTCCCAAAGTACTGGGATTACAGGCGTGAGCCACCCCGCCCAGCCTCTAAGTTATTTAAAAATATACAATTAAGTTATTATTGACTACGGTCACCCAGTTGTGCTATCAAATAGTAGGTCTTATTCATTATTTCTATCTTTTTTGTAACCATTAACCATTTCCACCTCTCCCCAGACCCCCACTACTCTTCCCAGCCTCTGGTAACCATCCTTCTACTTTCCATCTTTATGAATTCAATTGTTTTAATTTCTAGCTCCCACAAAATAGGTGAGAACATCTGATGTTTGTCTTTCTGTGCCTGGCTTATTTCACACAGCATAATGATAGATACTTTCTTTGTCACCTTCCCTTACATCATTACCATCATCACTACCCCAGGTTCTCATAACAGATACAGGTATCAAATTTCTGCACACACCATAAGAAACTTAAATATCTATCCTACATTATGTGTTTTCCAATCACTTGATCAGTGTTAATTCAAATAGTAGCTCAGGGACCATGGTCTCTCAATTAAGAGATAGTAGACACACCTCAAAACTAGATTACCAAGTCTTCGGGATAAACTCCAAATGCCTTAGCCTGGCATTCCAGACCCTCCCAGTGTAGATTTAACCTACCTCTTTACTTTGGTCCTGCTGCTCCCCACACCAGCCTCTGCTTACTCCACAAGCAGCCTGAGCAGGGGTTCTCAGTCACTTCCCACAATGCCTCTGACCATTACTCCTGCTTGGAACGTTCTTCTCCGTTTCCTTTATCACTCAAGGCACAACTCTCTGGCTTCCCCAACTGTTCCATCTGTAATCTCTCTCCTCTCTGATACATTTCCTGCACCACTTGTTTGTGATTTAATCATAGTTGCCTTTAATTATTATTTAGCTATTCAGAAGCTTCTCAAAGGCAGGGATCATATTGATTTTTCCTTGTTTCCTGTGTTCTCCACCTGGCAGTGCTATTCAGAGAAGGTGGTCACTACTGGTTGAGTGCATGACCACCCTAGAGGGCCAGAATTTAAGATACACATTTACTGGTTCTCGGTTAAAGCGGCTAGGCCAGCGCATCAAATTGGCAGGGTGTGGCGCGAGGGGAGTAGGCCCTGGGCGCCAGCATCCCGGGGTTCTTAGGATGACTCGAATATCCCTACAGCAGTAGGGCCTAAACAGGGGTTTGACGCCACAGCAAGGAGGGTCAGGCGTGTGTGGCCTCGGTCTTTAAGAGTATCTTTTCCGCCGGCCTCTCTGCGTGAGTGGCGGTTTATGAGTTTTACCTGATCTGCATCCCTTTTCTGCAGGAGCACATGTCCTTGCGCAGGAAGAGGCTGTTCAGCGTGACCGCCCCGATCAAGAAGAAGAGCTGCTTCACCGCCTGCCTCACAAGCTCGGGGTCCAGGCCGTTCTGGCACATGGTGGTGTAGAAGTAACTCAGCTGTTGCAGGACGGAGGTCATGGTGTAGGCGTCCGTGTCGTCTACGCTGGAGGAGCGCTTCCGGAAGCCTGTGGGCTTCAGGCCGGAAATGCCCTGCAGGCTCTCGTACTCCAGCATGCCTGGCACTGCGGAGAGATGGGGAGGCTGTGCTGATACGCCAGGAGACACACACGGAACGTTCCCGACGCTCTTCTGTTTGTTTCAGGAGATGGAACATATTTCTTTTCTTTTCTTTTTTTTTTTTGAGACGGAGTCTCGCTCTGTCGCCCAGGCTGGAGTGCAGTGGCCGGATCTCAGCTCACTGCAAGCTCCGCCTCCCAGGTTCCCTCCATTCTCCTGCCTCAGCCTCCCGAGTAGCTGAGACTACAGGCGCCCGCCATCTCGCCCGGGTATTTTTTTGTATTTTTTAGTAGAGATGGGGTTTCACCGTGTTAGCCAGGATGATCTCGATCTCCTGACCTTGTGATCTGCCCGTCTCGGCCTCCCAAAGTGCTGGGATTACAGGCTTGAGCCACCGCCCCCGGCCGAGATGGGACATTTTTCTACAAGAGTCAGTGAATGTACTTGTGATAGAGAAAGCAAAAGAATCAAGGGTTTGGGACAGCAGGGTGTGCGTCGGGGGTAGGAATGGACGGCTGTTTCCAGCGGGGCTGCAGCTTGTCTTCTAGGTTTGAAGCAGCACGTTTTTCAGCCTCACAGGAAAGAAAGGCGGTTAGCGTGACAACTCATGGCCTGGGCATTAAAGCCTAAAGTATTTAAATTTCAGGAAATTAAGGAAAGTATACAAGAATTCGAATGGGGCTTTAGGATTTCAAAAATACTTGGCTAAGCCAAGAAGTAGAAGTACCACATATAATAGCAGTAGTGGAAGTTTCCCCAAGTTTTTTCCTTCAGGATAAATCATCCTTATAGAAAGAAAGTTACCAACAGCGTACTATTATTTATGGAATCATTTTAAGCAAGCAAAGAATTAAAAGGTAGATACATGATTATATTTCCTTGACTTTTTAAACAATGTTACACATAATCACACATTACACATACCAAGTTTATGTTTTAAAAAGTCTTAATGTTACTATAAATATTTTTTGGTGATCAATTCTCTTCTTACCTATTATTGGTTGGATATTCTTTTCCATTATGATAATAAATTGATGATATATTCGTATAGCCACATCACTGAGAATCTGTCTGTATTCTGAAAGGTCAAAATTGTTCAAGCAATTCTTATTCTGATGTGGACTATTATGCTTCATGAATTCCTAAAAGTAATTTTATACATAAAGTATTAGAATAATACAAACATGTAGGAAGTTAATAATCAGCTACTATAACTCTTTTACCTTAAAACTTAATGTCTGATTTATATCAAATGAGTTCATGATGCTTGGGGTAGCATGTACCTTCTATAAGAGAAAAATTGCACTGATTTCCTATATGATCCCAGTCTGTCACACTATCATTGTCCTACCCACTTCCCTACAAACATTGTCCCTGGAACCTACAGACTAAGTGGAAAAGCTCATAGAAAGCCCATGGAAGCGTATAGGAAAATGAAACAAAACTGCAGAGCATCCAAGGAAACACACTGCTACGAAGAGGTAAGTGGATACAATAAATGAGATTCATAACCTGATAATTATAGGGCACAAAGTTGAAATATTTTAAAGTGTGTGTTATGGATTGACTGTGTCCTCCTAAAAATCATACATTGAAGCCCTAACCCCCTAGTATGGCTGTATTTGGAGATGGGGCCTTTAGGGAGGTAATGAGGTTAAATGAGGTCATGAGGATAGTGGCGTGATCTAATAAGATTGGTGTCCTCATAAGAAGAGACACCAGAGAGAGCTTGCCCTCTCTCTCCCTCTCCCTGACCCATGCATCCAGGAAAGGTCCTGTGAGGACACAGGGATGGAGAAAGTGGCTGTTAGCAAGCCAGGAAGAGAGCCCTCACCAGGAAGTGACCATGCTGGCACCCTGATCTCAGATGTTTGGCCTCCAGAACTCTGAGGAAATAAATCTCTTGTTTAAGCCACCCTGCCTGCGGTATTTTGTTATAGTAGCCTAAGTGAACTAATGGAATATGTTTAACATGTTCAAAGAGACTAAAGAAAAAGAAAAAATTAAGAATAGGACATTATGGGGCTGGGCATGGTGGCTCACGCCTGTAATCCCAGCACTTTGGGAGGCCGAGGCAGGCGGATCACTTGAGGTCAGGAGTTCAAGACCAGCCTGGCCAACATAGTAAAACCCCATCTCTATTAAAGATACAAAAATTAGCTGCGCATGGTAGTGCATGCCTGTAGCCACAGCTACTCAGGAGGCTAAGGTAGGAGAATTGCTTGAACATGGGAGGCGAAGGTTGCAGTGATCCAAGATCATGCCACTGCACTCCAGCCTAGGTGAGAGAGTGAGACCCCATCTCAAAAAAGAAAGAGAGAAAAAAAAGAATAGGACATTGTGGTAAGAGGCAGAGGTGAAAAGGAACAAGAAAGATTTTATAAATAAAAATATGGTAACTGAAAAAGCAGTCAGACAGGGAAAAGAACATTCTATACATGGCTGAAAGGGGCAAAGAAAGGATCATAAAACAGTGCTGAATAAGGCATTCTTCCACTAATGTCTCACAGATACCAGTTTGCTGTAAATGGACTAGTCTGTGCCTCCTCCTGTTTTGGTATTCTTTTTAGTCAGAGGTTGGATTTTCTTTACTTCTCCTTTTGTTCTATAGTACTAGTCAGATTACTGTTATATTTTATTTTACCTTCTTTCCATTGGGACAACTGTTTATCTATATGGAAGAGGATATTAGATCATTACCTTACATATCAATTTTGGATAGGTAAAAACATAATTGTCAACTCTAAAGGTGAACTACAAAAGTTTAGAAGAGAGTATCTTCATGATCTCAGGGCGGGGAAGAATTTCTGAACAAGACACAAATCATAAAAGAACAGGTTTGACAGAGTTAAGCATATCGAAATTCAAAAACTGTGTGACAAGGGACTTCATAAAGAAAATTAGAAGTGAAGCTACAGTCTATCCATATGATATAAAGACCTCCTACAAATCAATAACAAAAACACCAACCCTAAGAAAAAGAAAGAAAGGATGTGACTAGGCAATTCAAAAGGAAACCCGAATGACCAATAAACATATAAAATTATGCTTGACTTTGCTAGTGACCAAATAAATGCAATTTAAGTCAACAAGATATAATTTTATAACCTGACACTGGTAAAGGATAAGAATGTCTGTCAATACCAAGTGTTGGTGAAGGTATGAGACACTGGAAACATCATACACTGTGGGGCTGTGAAATGGTACAGCCATTTTAGAGAGCACTGAAAACCCTGAAAGCCACTTTGTTATTTTAGTTCAATGAAATTTTTCTCTGCAAGTACTTGAAGGTGGAGAACTCTTTTATGACATCAGCCTCCTGGAAGCAGAGTCGGAGTGGCAAAGGAAACATATTTATAGATTATGGAGGAACAGTCAGGGTCCTGTAGAGAGAACAGCTGTGAAGAACCAGGCATTTTAAACCAAGGGCTGTATTTTGGAGTCATAATGCTAAACGTCTTACAACCAGGAGGAAACTTAAAATTCGTCTTATCTACCTATTGATTTAAAAGTAATGGAAACCTAGGAGGCCTAGTACCGTGCCCAAAATCTAAGCTGCTTCCAGAAGTCTCTTGCCTGTGGTGTATACCCAAGAGTCCAACAGATAATGTGCTGTTGGCCTCCTGGGTGAAGAGAATAGAGGCTCTATTGAGCTCTGGCTCAGGCGGTTCTAGACTGGCTGTCAGCACAAAACAAGCAGGTGAGCGCCCCCTACCTCTTCTCCGCTGTACTGCTTCAGGCAATTGAGAAAATGGCAAGTGTTGGAAAGCCAAAAGGACAGCATTTCAAAGTCTTCTAAATGTTCCTTAGAAAAATAAGAAAAGACAGAATTGGACTTGATTATTATTTGTACCTCTGAGCATCTTACCTGTTTGGTTATTTGTAGCTTTTGACCAAAATTAATTTTTCTTTTATTCACTAAAGCCTTTATCTAATTCATACTATAATGATAAGAGCTTATATTTATTTAGGTCACAGTTTGTAACATGTTTCTGTACAGGTTGTGTCGCTCATTATGAAGTTGAAGTGGCCTTGAAGGAATGCATGAGCAGTGTAAGTTTCACTTCTTGCTCTCCTAAGTTCACATTCTCACTGGGAAGATAGATAGGACAGAGTTTAGTAGGTGGTCAAGTACCCACACAACGGTTGTAGACTGTGCTACAAAGCTCAGGGGATGGAGAGAGAGGATGGGGAGGCAGAGCAGCTGAGGAAACCTCAGAGAGGCAGGAGGTCTAGCCCTTGAGGGAAATGGGTGGAGAGACAAGAGCTCAGGACTAGGACTGCTGGGGAGAAGGCCTCCACTTACAGGGCAGGAAGAAGAGGAACAAGCAGCAAAGGCAGAAGTACAGTGATCAGAGGGGGAAGAGGAAAACAGAGAAAATCCTGGGATTTAAAAGACAAGGGAGGAAGCTTTCAAGGAGATGATGCTAATGCTTTGGTCAATTTAAAGAGAATAAAAAGTAAAGAAACACCACTGGTTTTAGTAAGAGGAATTACTGGTGATCTATCTGTAGAGTGATGGGTTAGAAGCCAGATTGCAAGGAGTGACAAAGAGAACTGGTGGAGACCACTAGTTTAAGCACTTTGGCAGTCCGGGGTGGAGGGAAAGGAACAGTGGCTAAAGAGGGTATGTGGGCACATCGCTGTAACTGCTGTGTGCTGGAGGTGGGGAGGGGCAGGTCCTGGGCACATGCAAAGGCAGTGGGAGGGGGCCACGGAGAAGTTGAGACTGAAGATGCTGGTGAGAAAGGGGTCTTACAGTCCTCATGCCATGCATCTCTTGGTTTATGAATATTTGGCTAAACACCCAGAGCATCAAGGGGAGGCAATTACTCTGTGTCCTGTGCTGGAACACAATACCAGCTTGTCTTAAGAAAAGTCAATTTATGCAAATATGGACAGGAGGAAAACATCAATTTATGGGAGCCCCTTCCAAAAACACTTTGGTGGCTCCTGTGAAGACGGTGACTATAAAGTATCCAGCACCAAACAAATGTGAATTTTCTATTCCTAACTCCAGATAAATAATGAATTCATGATACTTTTTGGAAGCAGAGGAGAATTACTATACTATGACATCTCACAAATCTAGTTTTTATGTTTCTTTCTTCCTAGAGTTTATTTATTTATTTATTTATTTATGAGACAAGGTCTGGCTCTATCACCCAGGCTGGAGTGCAGTGGTGTGATCTTGGCTTACTGTAACCTCTGCCTGCCGGGCTCAAGTGTTCTTCCCACCTCAGCTTCCTGAGTAGCTGGGACTACAGGCACACACTACCACACCTGGCCAATTTTTGTCTTTTTCGTAGAGACAGGGTTTCACCATGTTGCCCAGGCTGGTCTTGAACTCGTGAGCTCAAGTGATCTACCTGCCTCAGCCTCCCAAAGTGCTGGGATTACAGGTGTGAGCCACCACACCTGACCTTCCCTAGAGTATTTAAAAGAATTTAATTCCTCATTACTCTTTAGAACACATATTTTACTAAAAATAAGTTAGGATCTCCCTAATTAAAAATTCACATATATCCTAATATCGAACATCACTTCTCTTTTGGAGGGGCATGAAAAACTGTTATTTTAGTGTTACTTATGTCTTCTTGCCCCCTTCCAATATGGATTAGTACATTGTAATTCCCAGAAACGAGTACTTTTTAACATAACTGTAAACTGGTCATTTCCTAGAAAGAGAGAAAGAGAGAAGGTTTTTGTACTAACTCCACTGTGGCAAATGGAATTTCCACACTCAGGGTAGCATCAGGTCTGGCTTAGAACTAAGTCAACCACCCTACCCACACCCAAGATTCCAGCATGCGCTAAGCATTACCAGAGAACTCTTTTTACAAAGTAACTATCCCTGTAAGCAAGGATCCAGGTCTGTTTACAAAAATCTTCAATGCTTAGATACAGTTATTTACTCATTGATCATTTATGGAGTTTCCAGGAAAAATAATCAGCATGCTAAGAATGATTTTAGGATTATGTTTCAGTTGGAAAGGAAATTAGCAATAAACTTTGTGTTACTGTTAAGTTAGCCTTCACAAAATCCCGCCCTTTGTCATTGTCATTTTTGATCATTATCCACTTGTCACACCATGAAGAGATGATTGCTTATAAGAGTTCAGTTGGTGACTTCTGATACGTACACCATACACACATGGTCTATGTCCTATGGTAGGTTCCCTCTCGCCCAGTGGTAAACTGCTGGCTGCCTGCTTGTCCAGTCATTCCAATAAGGACACTGACTTAGGGAATGGACAACAGCAAGTTGGAAGGAACCTGGGTCCCTGCATGATCATATAGAACAGAGCCACCTTCCAACCTAGATGGCTCATTATGGAACTGCTATCAGCAAAGAAAAATCCTCCATCTTCTTTAAGAAACTGTATATTGGGCAAAGGGAGGTGGGAGGTGTCTTATAGCTACAATAGCTTAACTTTACTAAGTAACTAACCTAACTAATACACAGTTCATCATCATTTGTGGACTGGGAATAAAAATACACAATGTGCTTTTAGGAAGAAGAATTATATAATTGCCAAGGGAAGAGAGGAGTAATTTTTCATTCCTTTTCATTTCTCATGATTTACCCTTGTTACAGAGATAGAACATATACCCCTCACAGCTGATAAGTTCACACCCTAAGGGGATAGCAGTGGCGGGGGCAGTGGCTACCAGGTTGCAGTCTCGCCGGTAAGCCTTTGAGGGCTATGGCAGTTGCTCATCCATTTATCTTTCCCTAACAGTGTAGCTCCCTTCAATAGTGGGGAGGGAGGAATCACACGTCTCACCACACACTGGAGGCTCAGGAGGGGCAAAGACTGGGCATCTGGTCATTCCCATAGATGTGATACCAAGGGCCAATGTCAAAGGCACTTCCTACCTTAACCACCTGCTTGATGCCATTAATGGTGCTGTTCATGAGGGACTTCAGCATGTTGGCATCATTCAGAGAGTCTGCGTAGCGCACACACATGAACAGGATATGAGCCGGCAGCCCGGGGATCATGTTCACCACCACGCCACGGGGCTTCAAGTCTGAAGCAGAGAGAGCCAATGAGGATTACAGCGACAGGTCAGCTCTTCTCCTAAGGAACCTGTGACTAGGGGCAGGGGCTTGTTTGCTTTTCTGTGCTTGATGCAGTGCCTGAATGTATATGGATTTATTTCCTCTTTGAGGAATTCCATCTGGCTCCTTTCTTGTCACAAAATACACAGGTGCCACTTGTTCCTCTTCTTGTTTACAAAGGACTTTCTCTTTCTTAAAAGGTTGAATAAGAGACAGAATCTTTATTTTTCCCTGGTGTGGAAACTCTGGATTTCAGACCCCCATTGTAAGAAAGGAACTCCAGTTCCATGCACCCCTACTCCAAGCTCTTTGATGAGAATGGAGTACAGTGTCTGCAATCACATGAAGCTGCCTTGAATAGGGAAAGCAGGCACACACCAGTGCAGCAGAGGATGTCTAGCTGGCCTCGGGGAGAAGAGAACGGCGGAGACGCACAGTGGGGATGAAGGGGAGAGAGAAATCTTACAAAAAAAGTTAAGATAAGCAAACAAGGACGTCCCCCTGGCTGCATGAAGACAGAAGCACAAAGAAGAGGCTCACACTGTATGACACCAGTGATGGGGGGAAAGAAAAGGGTGGGGGTGCTCACATGAGCGGAGGGAGTCACTCGCAGAAGAGGAAGGAAGGCTACATGCTGGCTTTGTGTTTTGAGATCTTGGGGCCAGCTGACAGGGAGGCAGATTTTTCTCCCTATGTCAGAAAACCACATGGAAGGTCACAGTGAAGACAGTGCAGTAAGATTGTTTCTATGACCACCAGATCTTGAGCATGCACATGGGACATTCCTGTAACTGAGGCATGGCTGGGAAGCCCCATCACATTGCTGCAGAGAAATTTCTCGGAAGTCAAATGGAGCTCAGAGCCACAATTACTTCCATGATGGCTTCTGTGCTGAGACCCAAAAATGAGGTGATGTTTCTTTTCTACCCTGGTCCTACAATTTGGAAAAGGTCAGGGCAACGGTTCTCAACTGAGGACAGTTTTGGCCCCCACAGGACATTCGGCAATACCTGGAGACATCTTTTATTGTCATCACTAGGGGTTGCTGCTGGCTTCTAGCGAGTAGAAGTCAAGGATGCTGCTCCATCCTTTGTTACTCACCATTCGCAGAGTTAACAGGTCAACAGTGCTGAGGTTGAGAAACTCTGGGCTGGGGTAAGAAGCAGTGGAAGAAGAAAGAAGAAAAAGGACCACCCCTGCCCAGGACTTTGGCACTGACTGATGTGCAGATTCTCAAAGAGAAAGCAGAAGTCCAGAGTTCCAGGTTTCACTACCAAGAATGAGGTTCTGAATGAGCTTGGCCTCGTCTTCTCTCTTGTATTGCAGCATTCCAAGGTACTCCTTAGGTCCTGAGGACGAGTGCACATCATTGGCTGTAGACAGAAGCAAACAATCAGCTGAATACATAAAAGCAGCTTTCACAGGTCTCATAATGTGACTGCTCTCCTACCCCATTCTGGCTGGTTTGCACGTAAATGTCTGTGGCTTTCAGATACATTAAAACTGTACTGTATTGTATCCTGAAGAATTTCTCCAAGTAGTGATTCCTCTTTGTGAGTACATGAGTGAGTACAGCTGCTGCTGAAAAGGCCCAGTTATCCTTTGAAGAGCCTTATGAGTGCCTGATATGTATCCAGCACATGGTAACAGGAAAGAAATCCTAGATATTGCCTTGTCTTCAAGATGCCGATGCTACTGTGAAAGAAGACTCGTGAAACATTTGGTGTGCAAAGTACCAATGTGCATGATCCTTACTGAGAGGGCTGTATTGGTTTCCCATGGCTGCTGTAAAAAGTTACTGCAAACACAGAGGCTTAAAACAACACAAATGTTTACTCGTACAGCTCTGGAGGTCAGAAGTCTGAAAGGTGAGCCAGGGTGGTGAATGGTGGTTCATTCATCACAACAGTGGGGATGCAGCGGGGGCTGGAAGCACAGACCTGGGCCCTGCTCTCATGGGGCAGACTGCCATTTGTCATTTATTACTGAAGGAAAAGGATCCTGAGTTTGCTTGTGGACATTTCAAATTTGAGGTGAGAGTTGGGTAAGTAAGAATAAAGCCGCTCTTCAAAGAGATGAATATAGAAAAAGGAACAAACAAGACACAGCCTTGGCAATAAGGCTGGGAGGAAGAGGAAAAAGTAATAAGGAATGAAAGAGTGAGAAATGTGAGCAGGAGCTGAACACAGGCAAAGTTCAGTGATGGAAACAGAAGGAGGGATGAAGGGCTGAGGGTCCCTTTCACAGAGGCTCACAAGGATGCTTTATGTGTGCAGTGCAGTCCATGTTCAGGATGTCTGCTTCTTAGCTCTCTACTTTTCTAATAGAAATTTGGATACTAACTAATCCTACATATGTAACAGGGAGAGAAGGTGAATTTCAAGCAGTTAATTGAAAACTTGTTCACAATTTCATTTTTTAAAAAAGGGAGCTAACAGAGGAAGAGGTTAATGTATTAATTATAGGATGTCTCTTGCAGGTACATCAACGTATCTGGTATCATCTGAGCGGGAGGGAGCTGTCTTCTTGTCCCAAAGGATCTTTTCGTTAGCCCAGCACTAGGTCCCAAACCTCACCACTTGAGAATCATTCCTTTGGGTTTCATAAGCTTTGGACCAGAGAGAAAATAAACGAGTGCATGTTAGCCTTAGCTCAAAAGAATAAGAAAACAAGTATTGTTTCTTACCTTTTCCAGCTGTCTTGCTTAGTGTCTTGACTTGATCTTGTAGCTTTTTAATCACTCTGTCCTTCATGTCTAATTCTTCTTCAAGATCCTACAGCAATAAAAAGAAACCAGGATTTAGCTTAGAAGCACTTTAATCTATTTTTTTTTCTTTTTTGGTAACAGCTTTATTGAGCTACACTACTGTTCACATACTGTACAACTCACCCACTTAAAGTGTAAACTCAAAGGTTTTTTAGGGTAGTCAAGAGTTGTGCTACGATCACCATTTAATTCCAGAACATTTTGTTACTCCAAAAAGAAAACTAACCTTTAGTGTCACTCTCTAGTTCCTCATACCCTTCCAGCACCTAGCAACCACTCGTCTACTTTCTGTCTCTACGGATTTGCCTATTCTGGGCATCTCATATAGATAAATTCATAGAATAGGTTTTTTGTATGTCTGGCTTCTTTCGCTTAGCATAAGGTTTTCAAAATTCATCCATGCCGTAGCAAGTATCAGCATTTCACATATTCTTATGGCTGAATAATATCCTATTGTATGCATGCACTACATTTATCTTGCTCTTATTACATAGGAATGCCCATCATAGAGAATTTAAAAATATGAATGTGAGAAAATGGGCTTTCTAGATGTCAGAAGCTGGAGCCAGAGAAATGTTCAGAGATTTGGGCCTGGTTTTACCTTTCCTTCCTGATAAGGAGGTGGCCTTGCCCATGCTGAATTTGGTTCCAGAACCAGAAGAGTCCTTGGATACCTAGAAATACTTCCTATAAAGGACATACAGTGTTTAAGTTCTTCCAGATCTGAGCCTTTGACACATATAGAACTCAGGCTTCTCTGACCCAGAAAGACCCACCATGCAGGGTCACTGCAGCTGTGTGCCCTCTAGGGACTCTTGGGGCCAAGGGACATTGTGCTGTTTCTACTCTGTGCGGCCACCTCTCTCCCTGCCACCATTCTGTGTCCCTGGCTAGACATGTTAGGAGCTCTATGGACTTTAGAAGTGGAGGTGTCAGTAGAGCTTCTTCCCTCCAATTCAAGCCCATCTTATAATATATCTAATAAAATGGGTCACCCATCAACCCATAACTCAGGAAAAAAACCACTCTTAACATATCGATTTCATTCCTTTTTTCCCAATATGGTAAATGTACATTTTATAAAATTGGGATCATATTACATGCAAAATTTCAAATCCTACATTTTTCTCTAGTTATACTGCAGACATTTTCCCATGTCATTGATAATATACCCAAACCATCATTTTAACAGCCAAGTCATACTATATCATACAACAATTTAACCTTTGCTCTATTGTTAGATATGCATTTGATTCCTTTGGGTTGCTTTTTTTTTCTCTCTGATTATTAACACTACGATGATCACTCTGAACAAAAATCTTGGTCCACATGTTCAAGTATTTACTTAGGATAGAACCTTACAAGTTGTGTTACTGAGTCAAAGGGAATGTACTTTCCAAAGGTTCATGATCCATACCTTCAAATAAGCCCTCAAGAAAGTTTATACCAATTTATATTCCCAGCAACCATGTATGACAGTGCCCATTTCAAGATGTTCTCTCCAGCAGCATCTCTATTAATTATTATTATTATTAGTAGTAGTATTTTTAGAGATAGGGTTTTGCTCTGTCACCCAGGCTGGAGTGCAGTAGTGTGATCATAGCTTACTGTAGCCTCAACCTCCTGGGCTCAAGCAGTCCTCTTGCCTCAGCCTCCTGAGTAGCTATAACTATAGGCATGCACCACCACACTTGGCTAGTTAAAAAAAAAAAAGTTTTCCTTGTAGAGATGGGGTCTTGCTACATTGCCCTGGCTGGTTGAACTCCTGGCCTCAAGTCATACTTCTGCCATGACATCTTAAAGTGCTGGGATTACAGGTATGAGCCACTGTGCCAGGCCCAGATCTCTGCTAATTTGACAGGCAAAAATAATACCTAGTTTTAATTTTGAATTTCTTTGATAAATAGTGAAATTATTACTAAAAGTTTTTTTTTTTTTTTAATTTCTTAATAAGAATTTCCTTTTCAGTGACAAAAGAGTCTGGAAAAAAAATTTTTTCTTTTTTTTTTTTTTTGAGATGAAGTCTTGCTCTGTCGCCCGGGCTGGAGTGCAGTGGCCGGATCTCAGCTCACTGCAAGCTCCGCCTCCCGGGTTTACGCCATTCTCCTGCCTCAGCCTCCCCTGTAGCTGGGACTACAGGTGCCCGCCACCTCGCCCAGCTAGTTTTTTTGTATTTTTTAGTAGAGACGGCGTTTCACCGTGTTAGCCAGGATGGTCTCGATCTCCTGACCTCGTGATCCGCCCGTCTCGGCCTCCCAAAGTGCTGGGATTACAGGCTTGAGCCACCGCGCCCGGCAAAAAAAATTTTTCTTTGACTCAAAGCATCACATAGTGGCTTGAACAGTGTCACCCTGAAATTCATGTCCAACTCAAACTCCAGAATGTGGTGACTTTATATGGAAATAGGATCCTTGCAGCTGTGGTAAGCTGAGAGTCAATATGAGAGATGGCTACTACAATTTAGGGTGGGCTGTAAATCCAATGCAGATGTCCTTATAACCGACAGAAAAGAACACAGAGACAGACAGGGAGAAGGCCAGGTGCAGTGAGGCAGAGGCTGGAGTCACACTGCCCCAAACCAAGGAAGACCTGGAGCCCTCTAGAAGCTGGGAGAGGCAAGGACGGGTTTTGCTTAGAGACTTCGGAGGAGTGTGCCCTGCTGACACCTTGACTTCAGACTTCTGACCTCCATAATGGAGAGAACACATTTCTGTTGTTTTAAGACCTGGTTTGTGGTCATTTGTCATGGCAGCCCTGGCAAACTAATACAGATCAGGTCTCATCTGTGGGTAGAATCCGCCGGCTAATGTATAGAGATGATACTCTTGTTGTATGTCCCTCTGCTTATATGTAACAGTGAGGCTACTCCGGGTTCAGAAAGAGCTATGGAAATGAACATGTCAGGCCTGTTGGCTCCCCAGCTCAGTGCACCTGTGGGGAGCAGAGCCAGACACTCAGAGGAGCTCCAGAAGAGGGCACCAGGACTGGGCTGTGCTCTGGGGCACCAGGAACGAACTCATAAATCACAATGCACTGGGACAGTCAGAGTAAAGGATCAAGTGGGATGACATGCGCAGCACACGCATGACCCACCCATGTAGCTTCTCCCTGACCACTGGCTCCACTGAGATCCCAGGGGCCCACAGAAGGCAAGGCAAGGCAGCCTCACACACATGGACAGCAGGTGGTTGCTTCTCTGGTGTAATATGAGGATTCCAGTCTCCGAGAAAGTTATATCCACCTCAGAAAAGACAGCCATCATGTAGGTGCCACTGATTGGAATTTGTTACTTCCTATTAAATGTTAAACTCCTGGAATGTCTCTTTTTGGATGTAACCATTCTTCAGAGTTAAACCCTGACACCCAAAATGTGTTTTTCCTCTATCAGGCTTTTCCTGTGAGATTGGAAATAGGGGCCCTGTCAGCGGGGAGAAGGGCACGTGGGCATGTCCACACTGACCCACTGGACTCGTCAGCCCTCCTGGGTCACCCTCTTGGAAGCTCTCAGGTCTCGAAGGGGCCCAAGAGGGTCTCAGCTCCTAGGAAAGTGGCCTACCTGTCACTTCAGCACTTCTCAGTCTTCCGGGTTCTATACAGCATCACAATTTCAAAATCATTGCTGGGACTTGACGTACGGTTACCCAATTTCATTTTGGCAAGGGCATTTAAAACTCAGAAAAGACCTTAAACACTTTTAAAAAGTTTCTAAGCCTTCCATCGACATCATGATCATTTCATAGAAGAACATTTTGACTCTTAAAATTGTGGGAAGGCCACCCCCTGAGAAGAAAGCATGGGCACTTATATGGGGTGAGTTTTGCTGGGTAAAGCACTCACACGTAGGCCTTGCTAGCCTCAGTGTGTTCCAGAGCATGGTGACTCCATCCTGGATGGTGCCATCCACTGATAGTGCTGGGGAACCACGGCCTGCACCTCACTGTCTCTCCTCCTTCACCCTCCCCAGGCTGGCCTATAAGTCTCTGAGGCCTGTAAGTCCCCAACGCCTTCCCAAAGCCAACCTCAGAGACCACGTGTCTTTTGGGATAAGAAAACAGACGGTTCTGATAGAAGGACCTTTGGTCTATAGATGTTAATTATATGCTTTAGGCGGCACGTCCCCCCTTTCAGCATCATTTGCACACAGACAGTCTCTATCACCAAGTTAGAAGACTTCTCACCCTGTTTTCCAAAGTGAGCCGAGATGCTTCCTGCCAGAAGTTACTCTTGACTTCACTTTCAGTTTCAAATTGTTTCTTCAAGTGGTCACTGGCCTCCTGCATTTCTTGAATCTTATCAATCAGCTTCTCCTTCTCTTTGGTATGTATTTCATTCTGGGCTTCCATGGCCCTGAGAAAGGGAGGGAGGAATGGCTAGTATCAGTATGACCGTCATGGAGAAGTCACTCACTGTCATAGCAAGTGGTGATATTTCCAAAGATGGGAGAACACCTTGGCCAATTTCTGTGTAAAGCAAATAGTATTTGAATAGGGGCGTCCTTCTGGGGGAAGGAAAAGAGACCAGGACTGGCTGGGACAGAAAATTGTCCATGGACTGCTCTAGTCTCCTTCACCCAATAAGAGGTTCCATTCTCCACCCAACCCCAGCCCCACTCACTGTTCCCATGGGACATCCACGCCCACCATACCCTGTGACAGCTCAGCAGTCATCCCCTTTGTGACCAGCCTGGGGACCAGACACTCACAAAGCCAGGGATCAGATAGAAGAGAGGAGGGGAGACCATGAGAAGAGTTCCAAAATGGTGCCTTGCTCCTTTTCCACTACTTTGGGTCCTCATCCTACTGATAAAGTCACATGACTAAAGATGCTCTTGGGGATGTCAAGTGTCCATTTATTATTTTGGAAAAATAACTGTCTCAACAAGTTGGCAAAAAAACAGAACATTCTCCCCACAAGGCTCTGCCAGGGCATGAGGCCCTTTGTTGGTCAGGATGGAAATTTGGGGGGATTAGCAATGAAGATTTTCCATCAACATGGGTTTTTAATTCTTACCCTAAATAGTCTGCTAATAGAAACCGTTCTCTCTCACAGACTCTTATCCGTTGTTTGAACAGATTATTCAAATGCATGGTATAGCATTTCAAGGGTACAAAAGTGTACATATACAGTGAAAAGTACGGGTCCTCCCCTCCTCTGTGCATCAGTCACCAAGCCTGGAGGCAACTGCCTGGAGGCAACCAATGTATTGTTCCTTAACAATCTCCCAGAGATGCTGCAGCTGCTGCTGCTGCTGAGTGTGCTGTACATACACATATTTTTTCCTTCCCATTGGAATGGCAATATATCATATATATTAATTAGCATCTGGCTTTTTGGCATTAGTAACACATCTTGGTATATTCTACAGTTTCAGAAAAGCATTACATGAGCATGAACTTGAGGTACACACATATTTACACTTACTTTCTTTGTGTTCCTTCCTCCTCTTGACTGCGATTTAACTGATTAGACAATTCTTCTAGTTTTCCTATAATAAGAAGAACTGTCAATACTTTGTGGGGAGTGGGGGGGGGCATATCACTGCATTCTGATTTGGGTTTGGTATTATTTTCAATTTTTAAAAGTCCTAAACCAGGGGTGTCCAATCTTTTGGCTTCTCTGGCCCATATTGGAATAAGAATTGTCTTGGGCCACATATAAAATACACTAACAGTAACAATAGCTGATGAGCTGAAAAAAAAATTGCAAAAAAAATCTCGTTTTAAGAAAGTTTACGAATTTGTGTTGGGCCTCCTTGAAAGCTGTCCTGCGCTGCATGTGGCCCATGGGCTGTGGCTTGAACAAGCTTGTCTTAAACTGTATCCAGGCAGAGATTAACTTTTATTTGGTCTGAACAATGTTTAAACATTTTTAAACCATCATTTAAAAATTGTAATATTTCACATAAAAATCTGGATTCCTGGGTTTTCTTTAAAAATAGGAATCTCTAGCAATACTGGGCTCACATTCCCACTGGGCAACAATCACTGGAGCTTGGAGGCAGAAGCCTCTTTATTTTACTGTATTTTTTTCAGAGACAGGATCTCACTGTGTCACCCAGGCTGGAGGTGCAGTGGCGCAATCATGGCTCGCTTCAGCCATCACCTCCCGGGCTCAAGTGGTCCTTGCACTTCAGTCTCCCACACAGCTGGGGACTACAGGGAAACATACTGCCATGCGCTGACTTATGTTTTAAAATTTTTTGGCTGGGTTCAGGTAGCTCTTGGCTATAATCCCAGCACTTTGGGAGGCCAAGGTAGGTGGATCACCTGAGGCCCAGGAGCTCAAGGACCAACCGGCCAACGGCAGAAACCCCATCTCTGTAAAAATACAAAAAAATAAAAAAAAATTAGCTGGGTGTGGTGGTGGGTGCCTGTAATTCCCATATACTCAGGAAGCTGAGGGGCAGGAGAATCGCTTGAACCTGGGAGGCGGAGGCTCCAGTGAGCAGAGATCGCCACCCATTGCACTCTAGCTGGGCGACAAGAGTGAAACTCAGTCTCAAAAAGAAAAAAAAAGTTTGTAGAGATGAGGTTTCATCATATTGCCCAGACTGGCAGACTGGTCTCAAACTCGAACTCCTGGCTTTAAATGATCACCCGTCTCTGCTTCCCCAAAGTGCTAGGGATTACAGTGTGGAGGCACTGCACTCAGCGTGCACCCTCCTTTAGAATGATCTACCATACCTTCCCATATGTTTCAATAGCCCCTTCGTCACATTTGTTTACCTGCCAGCCCCCTGGGAGCCAGAGTTTAAAACCCCCGAGTACGAGGACATTTCAGTGTCACGTTCCTGGGTACGGCGAAACCATTTGGTCTACAAGGCAGGTTCATGACGGTTCAGTTACCTTTCATTTTCTGACGTTTGTTCATTCAGGGCTGGATTTCAAGATCTGCTTCTCTTCGTCCAATTCTGGAAATTTGTGCTGTTTAAAGTCTGAGGTCATCCTTTAGAGGAGAGAATTAGGAAATATTAGAATATAGTACAATACTTTGGATCTATGAACTTTAAATATTCACGAAGCAACACTAAACTGTCTTGGCATTCAGCCTGCCCGGAACATATAATTGTGTAAGAGAGCCGACGACATTAGGACTGGATTAACATTCTTTTTTTTTTTTTAACCTCAAAACTATGTAAGTACTCAGGAAATACCAGTATGCGTTCAGAGGAGAGCAGTTCTCATACAGCTACCGATAGCAGAAAGAGTAAGGATGATTGTGACATGATGAGAAATCCTCTGTTGAGTGAGGAAGGAATTAGTGAAGAAATGGCAGCCGGCCTCTTTGGTCCAAGCCCAGAGCCATCATCTCCTCATCTAGGAACAGGAAAAGCCATCTCAAAGGGTCCCACTGCAACTTTTGGAATTCCAGGACACGCACTGCTCTGTTAGTAGAACTTACTGAACTTACTGAAATTCACCCAGTAAGTTTCTCAATCCTTTGTCCTATCTGTATATATTTCCTTACACGTCTATTGCCTCTACCCGCAGTGAGGTTAAACAGGGTTGTTTTTTTTTTGCCTTCCCCAAGTTTATAAACATGCTCATTTTAAAACTGAGTGGCTGAGATCCAGGCCGCCGAAGTCTAAATGAAGAATACAGACAGCCCACTGATTTACGATGGCTCAACTTTACTATTTTTTTGAGTTTGTGATGGTGTGAAAGTGACTGACGCATTTAAGTAGAAACGACCATACTTCAAGCCAGCATTCAACTCATTCTGTGTTTCACTTTCACAGTATAGTATCTTGTAAATTACATTAGATATTCAACACTTTATTATAAAAATGGCTTTGTGTTAGATGATTTTGCCCAAGCGCAAGCGAATGTAAGCATTCCGAGCACGTTTAAGGCAGGCTGGGTAAGCTACGATGGCCTGGTAGGTTAGGTGTATTATATGCATTCTCACTTACAATACAATACTTCCAACAAATGATGGGTGTTATTGGGACACAGCCCCAATGGTAAGCTGAGGAGATCTGTACTTGTTTGACTGTGCAATTGTGTCTCATTGCAAATTCCTCTTTGAAATTTCATCCAAGGAAAAAACAAAGGTGTAAAGGTCCCCCACTAAGTGTTCCCTGTGTCCACCCCTGGTCCTCAACTGCTGCTACAGCCCCGAGATTTCGTAACACTCCCAGTTTAGGGAGAGGAGAGGGTAGTAAGGAAATAGGGAGCAGCAGCCATGGAGGCAGGACAAGGAATGGCTGGGAGAGCTGGCATCCTGGAAGCCGAGAGAATAAGGCGGAGAGGGGCAAGATTAGCATCGGCCAGGGGCTGCTGAGACACAGTAAGATGAGGGTGCAAAGGAACCCTTAGTGCTCAGCTCTGTGCAGGCAGAGTCAGCCAGTGGTGGGGGCCAACGACAGAATGGGGTGGTGGGCAGTGAATGGGGAGGTGTGCGAAGGGGTATGCCTAGAGGGTCTTCGTAAGTCTGACTAACTCACCAAAAGAAACGAGGTGATGGCCACAGGAGTGTGGGGTTAAGACAGAGATGGCTTTTTGAGTGAGGAGATTCCTAAGCATTTCTTCAGGCCAGTAGGCATGAGTTGGAAGAAAAGAATGAGACAAACGCAGTGGTTAGGAATGCGCACGTCATGGAAGAGGGAACCCTGAAAAGGTGAGATTTGAAGCCGGGCACAGTGGCTTATGGCACTTTGGGAGGCCGAGGGCGGGGGCGGATCACGAGGGTCAGGAGTTCAAGATAGCCTTGCCCACATAGTGAAACCCTGTCTCTACTAAAAATGCAAAATTACTGGGTGGTAGTGGGCGCCTGTAAATCCCAGCTACTTGGGAGGCTGAGGTAGGAGAATTGCTTGAACCCGGGAGGTGAGGTTGCAGTGAGCTGCAATTGCGCACTGCACTCCAGCCTGGGTGACAGAGTGAGACTCCTGTCTCAAAAAAAAAAAAAAAAAAAGATGGAGATTGAAGCATGAGCAGGACTGGCCTTCCTGACACACTCCTCTTTCAAGAGCTACCCTTCAATTTTGTGGTCACTTCCAAGGGGTTAGGGCTGGATTTAAATACAGACTTTAAAAATACCACACTTACGCACACACACACAATCACAGCACCTGCACCCATCCTGTGGTGAACACACACACTCTTGTATCAGAGTGCTCTCTGGTCTGCAGTCATTTTATAGTTTAATCACCAGACTGAGTTATTTCACTTCTGGAAAAAGTAATTTATATCCACTCTTTTACTGCCAAGAAACTGAATTTGACTCCACTGACAAAGAACATCTCTAGTATGATGGCCATGACTGGGGCCCCTGGCTGAGACCATACCATATTCTCTGATGTTAGCCTGGTCACTTCAAGACGGATGCTTTCATTGATGTCATTTTCTTCTCTGAATAACTTCTGCAGGTGGTTGATTTCTTGACTTAGATGCACCACTTTGAAATTCAAAGCTTCAATCTCCTTTTCGTAGCACTCCTTCTGAGACTGGAAATGGCTCTCCAAAACACTATTAAAGGAAGGGTCAGGAAATAAACTGCATGGCCTTTATTCTGCTGTACGGACGGCTGGGAGGCAGTTATGAAGACCCACAAGAGCCGTGCACAAGGTACATCAAGTTTACTTATGCACTCACAGTTACAGGCTACAGAATCAGGAATGCCTAATTACAAAATCTTCTAGCTAGTTAGGAAGCATTATGTGGGGGTTAACATGTAGTTAACAATGAAGAAAATTTTAGAGATTATTGTATTTTTACACTCTTAATAGTTAAAAAATTTTGGCCGGACGCACTGACTCACACCTGTAATCCCAACACTTTGGGAGGCCGAGGTGGGTGGATCACTTGAGGTCAGGAGTTTGAGACCAGCCTAGACAACATGATGAAACCCCGTCTCTACTAAAAATACAAAAATTAGCCGGGTGTGGTAGTGCATGCCTGTAGTTTCAGCTACTCAGGAGGCTGAGGCACGAAAATCGCTTGAAACCCGGAGGTGGAGGTTGCGGTGCCGAGATCTTGCCACTGCACTCCAGCCTGGGCAACAGAGTGAGACTCCACCTCAAAAACAAAACAAAACATGTTCTGTATGATACTACAGTTGTGGATACGAATCATTATACATTTGTCAAAACCTACAGAATGTACACCAAGAGTGAACTCTAATGTAAACCATAGACTTTGGGTGACAGTGGCGTGTCAGTGTTGGTTCATCAGTCATAGTAAACACACCACTGCGGTTTGGGAAGCTGATCGTGGAGGAGGTTGTGTGCGTGTGGTGATGGGTATATGGGAACTCTCTGTATTTCTGCTCAACTTTGATGTGAACCTAAAACTGCTGTAAAAAATAAAATTTATTAATTTAAATACATGCAACACATGCCTTAAACTTAAACGTATCTACATATCTCTGGCAACACTAACTAATTTATTTGATAATCGGTTTCCACTGTATGGGTTATGGGGTTTTTTACTAGGCATTTTATCCCATGAAGAGATTGCTCTTCATGAATAAGCTAATTACTTACTTCTCAGAGAAATATTTCTAGCAGTTATTTGGTCATTCTACTATAAGGAATTTGTGTATCAATCTATGTAAGGTACACTTAGGACTTTCCAATCATCTATTTATTATCTCTGAAAAATAAAGAAGAACCCTGAGGAGAATTTCTAACCGTGTTGCTTTCTTCAGTCCTTCATAAGCAAACCAAAGTTCTCCATCCTCATTTAAATGTTCCAAATCTTCCATAGAGAGCCTGCAAAATAAGGAAGATAAGAAAATCTATCATCTCTCTCACGTTTTACATGTCTTAAAATGTTTGATAATGCAAAAATGATTACCTGCTTCTTACATCTTCAATGTCATAGCTTTCGAGAAGTTGTTTGGTGATCTCTGACATCTTTTCTGAAAGGAAAAGGCAGAGTTGTATACATTACATTTGTGGATGATTTATCTTTTCCCATTCCCTTTCCAGGGCCCAGTTTTCTAGCTTCACAGTCTCCAGCTAAATAACTCACCAGCTATCCAATCAATCAACTAACCAATCTTGTAGGTATTCAACCAACTAGCTATTCAGTCTACCAACTAAGCAATCTACCATATGTCCAACCAAATTCATACCAAAGGACACGTTTCCTTAGCAGTGACACAGCTACGATAAATTCAGTCTACACCCATGGACTAAGAGACTCATATTTTTATTACCTCTCATTTCCCGTTTTTGTGACTGCACATGTTTCTCCACATCTATCTTCTGTGCCTGAAGTAGCTGTATCTCTTTTTCGAACTCAGAGATTGTCTGAATCACAGCAACGACGGAATCAGGTAAAGAAAAAAACAGCAATTATGCTTTATATGAGACAAAGGGAACACAATTACGGCGTCGCCTGTCTACACAAGACATCCTCACTGCAGTTTCTTTCTTAGCTAAGATCTTGTTAAACCATCACTGCCCACACAGCTTGGCCTTGAGGCATGCTTAACTACTCAACATGCCAGACCTACTGGGTTGTATCAGTAGAATTAACTTCCCTGGGCCGGGCGCAGTGGCTGACACCTGTAATCCCAGCGCTTTGGGAGGCTGAGACGGGTGGATCACCTGAGGTCAGGAGTTTGAGACCAGCCTGACCAACAAGGTAAAACCCTGTCTCTACTAAAAATACAAAAATTAGCCGGGCGTGGTGGCAGATGCCTGTAATCCCAGCTACTTGGGAGGCTGAGGCACAAGAATTGCTTGAACCTGGGAGGTGGGGTTGCAGTGAGCCAAGATGCTGCCATTGCACTCCAGCCTGGGTGACAAGAGCAAAACTCTGTCTCAAAAAAACCCCAAAAAACAAAAATCAAAAACCCAGAGTAATTTTTTTTTTTTGAGACGGAGTCTTGCTCTGTCACTCAGGCTGGAGTCCAGTGGTGTGATCTCAGCTCACTGCAACCTCCACCTTCCAGGTTCAAGCGATTCTCCTGCTTCAGCCTCCCGAGTATCTGGGACTACAGGCATGTGCCACCTTGCCTGGCTAATTTTGTTTTTTTTTTGTATTTCTAGTAGAGACGGGGTTTCACCGTGTTGGCCAGGATGGTCTCCATCTCCTTACCTCGTGATCTGCCCGCCTTGGCCTCCCAAAGTGCTGGGATTACAGGCGTGAGCCACCACGCCCAGCCCAGAGTAATCTTAAGAGATCACACTGGAGAGTTACCCAGTCTTAGCTACCAAAGAGAAAGTGAGTGACACCTACTGGTACCTCTCTGCAAGCGCAGTCTCACAATTTCCTACATTTAAGATTCAGACCTCAGACTTCAGCCAGATGACAGGACTCCCACAGACTGACATCAGGCTCATGTGGCTGCTAGGAGTGAAGCAGTCACAGGAATGAAAGTGACCCTTCCTGATCATGTGGTCTGACCTCCTTCTTTTAAACAATAGGGGACGGGGCCTAGAGAAGACACATACTTCAGCTATGGAATTCAGTGTCCACCCGGATGCAATTCCAAAAGCTCTTCTAAACCACACATGGCTAGTTCATGACAATTACAAAGAATATTTGCATAATCCTGCTCTGATAATATGTATTTCACATATTTAGTAGAAGCTTAAAAGCTTTCCAACTTAATGATGAAATGTCTTACATTTAAGAACACAGGTACACTCAGGTTTAAGTTTTCTGGTAGGGAAACAATTCACTTAAGCCTTGATTGTCCAAGCATGGATCGTTACTTCATCCATTCATTCATTTTTCTCAAGAGCTTTTTATTAAATTGCCCAGGAATATTTATATATTTTTAATGATAAATACAGGTAACAATATTTTTATGTATGATTATGCAGTTTTAAAAATTCTATGTGATTTTTCCCTCTCAGGTTTATAAAAATTTACTTAAAAATTTCTACCATTGACAATTTATAGCTTTATTGATGTTATAATTTATGAATATAATGTGGAATAATTCAGCTGATTAACATGTTATCACCTCAAATACTTGTCATTTTTTGTGGTGAGAACATTTAAGATTTATTCATAGCAATTTTGAATGTACAATATGCTTTTATTAACTACATTCACCACACTCTGCATTGGATAATTGTTTTTGTAAATTTTCTAGTAATGGTTTAAATGAAATATTTTGATAATAAGGTAACTTAACTTTAATGCAGATGTTTATAGATTTATAGTGATGGATTATATAATAAGGATTCACCTCAATTTACAGTCTAATTTGGAAGTATTCTCTACATCAACATATTTAAATAACTTTACATAAATGTAATTTCAAAAAAGTTAGAAAGTTGACTTTTAAAATATGGAATACAATGATTGCTAAATCAAAGGCAGCCTGGAGGTTCACAGTTGGAAGGACTGAAGGAATCAGGCTCTATTTGCCTGTGGCCTTTACACAGATGCCTTTAGCTGTCTAATCTGTGGGAACTTGGAACTGCAATCAAATGACTTAACCAGAGGGCAGGGCTGAACGTGAGAGCAGCTCTACCTTGGCCTGCTTGCTCAGGCGGGCCACTTCTGCCTTCAAGCCATCAGAAGTGACGTGCTCCTCCTCTACCAGCTGTTGAAGTTGCGTCTTCTCATCCTTGAGAGCTTTAATTTCTTCTTTCAAAGACTGAATCTGCTTCTCATAGTCTTGTGTTTTCAGTTCAAAACTTTTTTCAAGAAGCCTAGGCAGCAAAAGAAGAAAATAATTTAGAGCTGAGTGTGGTGGCTCAAACCTGTAATCCCAGCACTTTGGGAGGCCAAGGCAGGCGGATCCCTTGAGCCCAGGAGTTCGAGACCAGCCTGGGCAACAAGAAAGACCCGCCCCCCCGTCTCCACTAAAAATACAAAAATTAGCCAGGTGTGGTGGCGCATGCCTATAGTCCCAGCTACCCAGGAGGCTGAGGTGGGTGAATCGCTTGAGCCCAGGAGGTCCAGGCTGCAGTGAGCTGAGATCATGCCACTGCACTTCAACCTGGGTGACAGAGCGAGACCTTCCCCACAACTCCCCCCACTCCCCCAAAAAAAGAAGAAAATAATTTAGAATTGTCTCTACAGTCTTTACTTTGAATTAGAATACATCGTTTTGAAAACAACAAGAGGAAACAAGTTAATTAGGACCTACTGTGACAGTTCCAGCAGATAATGGCCTTATTTTTAGCAAACTGTTTCCTTTTCTCTTAGGTTAAAGGCAACTTCTTACACCTCCTGATCTGAAAGGTGTAGCTTTACAATGGTCATGCACCGGGGACACTGGATAGGGAGCCTGAACTTAAAATACACACTGGTTGTTGGGAGATTGTATTCCCAATCCCCCGGGGTTCCATGCAGTCCCCTGGAAGGGCCATTTTCCCTCAGAGAATATCTTGGCGTGCTCTGCCAAGTCCTGGCTCCTTCCTCGTTCCAAGGATCCTGCTGGGAGTTTGTTTGATCCTAAACAATAGAGCTATCTGATATGTCCAGGGGTCTAGCCCTTCAAAAATTCTAGAATAAACGGCAGCTAATCCAGGTGCCCAAAAGTGTGTGTAAATCCAACTGCTCTAGAAGGTTGCTCAATTAAAAATTTGATGATTAACTAAGAAAATAATTGAAAAGAGATACATAACCAACACAGCCCACAGGGGCCCTGAAGCGGTGCCAGAAGCTCTATGAGTTTATTAAATCATTCTACTTGCTGAGCTGTCATCTCAGTTCCTTTTATAACTCGCTTTTATAGCACAAAGGGAAAAACTCTGAGAAAGAGAGCCACATTCCCAATAAATTTGTTTGATTTCTTTTTTATAGATTTTATTTATTTATTTACTTTTGAGACGGAGTTTTCTCTTACCCAGGCTGGAGTGAAGTGGCGCAATCTCAGCTCACTGCAACCTCCGCCCCCCAGGTTCGAGTGATTCTCCTGCCTCAGCCTCCCGAGTAGCTGGGATTATAAGGTGCCCATCACTACACTCAGCTAATGTTTGTATTTTTAGTAGAGACGGGGTTTTGCCATGTTGGCGAGGCTGGTCTCAAAATCCTGACCTCAGGTGATCCGCGCCTGCCTTGGCCTCCCAAAGTGCTGGGAGGCATGAGCCACTGCACATAGCCTCTTTTTTCTATAGATATTAACAAACTTTGTTTCCAGGTTTTTAAAAAAACTGCAGTGCTCCCAAGAGGCCAGTAAAATGCCTTTGAAAAAGAAAACTGCAACCAGAAGTTTTCCTTTTTTTTTTGGAGACAAGGTCTCATTCTGTCACCCAGGTTGGAGTACAGTGGCGCGATCTCAGCTCACTGCAACCTCCGCCTCCCGGGTTCAAGCAATTCTCCTGCCTCAGCCTCCCGCGTAGCTGGGATTACAGGCATCCGCCACCATGCCCGGCTAATTTGTATTTTTAGTAGAGACGGGGTTTCACCACATTGGCCAGGCTGGTCTCAAACTCCTGACCTCAGGTGATCTGTCCGTCTCGGCCTCCCAAAGTGCTGGGATTACAGGCATGAGCCACTACACCTGGCCCAGAAGTCTTATGTGAAAAGAATCTTAGACCCACAGACGGAGCTGGTCAGGAGGGTGCCCACAGACTGCAGGCCTCTTGGAGCCTCCTGAGAATTGTGACAGGGGCCAGGAATTCCCCACTTGGCTGACCAAGGGTTAAACCAAGCTACAGACAAGTGCTAACGAGGAGGCAGAACACGGGCCTAGAGACGTTGAAGAGTTTTACTCCCTTCACTGGCCTGCCTTGCCCTGACCCAGTTAGGACTGCAAACAGCCCACAATGACCCGGCCTCAGCCTGGCTCTCCAAACCCCCAGCTTGAAATGATCACTCCCAAGTGGTCCCTGCACGTGGACAGATGCCAAGAGCCGAGCTCTTCTCCTCACATGAAACACTCATCGACAATTATATTTTTCTAGGTAAATGAGTTAATTAGACATATTTAAAAACTGATGGAGGATCATGAAACACTTCATATATCTGTTAACTCCTGGAGCGATTCTGGGATATTCCCTCCTCTCTTTAGAATCCTATTTCCTCACCCAGACCCAGGCTGTCCTGCTCACTGCTTGGGAAAGTTTTGTATCCTACCACCACAGGCAGACCTGAGCTTTCTAGACCCCAAAAGAGATGTGCCAAGAATGTTCTATCTCTTTCCAGCACCCTGCCATGCACTCCAACTTTGAGATCTAAAAACCTTTGACTACTTAAGAGAAGGGAAGCCCAGATTGGAGTCCTTGGAGGTTAGCAAAGGGTTTGCTATTGAGATAGGAAAGGTGGGCTGGTACAGTACAAGGTCAGGCACCTGCCTTAATTTCTGTGAGGTGCGTTATTTACCTTATCTCTTGGGATAAAAGACAAACTAACAAGTACAATAGGTGGGGAAGGAAGGGAGGGAGGTTTATTTCCTAGGCAAGAATCTTAATGCTTAGATTTGGTGGAAGTTGAAGGTGGTGGTAGTCTCTGAATTTTGCACTCTCTTAGCAATAAAGTAAAAAAAAGAAAGAAAGAGGCCAGGCGCGGGTGGGCTCCACCTGTGGAAATCCAGCACATTTGGAGCCAAAGGATGGCGATCACAGTCAAGAAGATCGAGACCATCCCCTGGACACGGTTGGAAACCCGTCTCTACTAAAAAATACAAAAAAAAACTAGCCGGGCGCGATGGGGGCGGCTGTAGTCCCAGCTACGTCGGAGGCTGTGCAGAGAACGGCGTAAACCCGTTGAGGCAGAGCTTGCGCAGTGAGCTGATATCTGGCCACTGCACTCCAGCCTGGCGACAGAGCAAGACTCCGTCTCAAAAAAAAAAAAAAAAAAAAGAAAGAAAAGAGAAAAGAAGAAAGGAGGAGAGAGAAGAGGAAAGAAAGGAAGGAGGAGGAGGGGAAAGAAAGAAAGAGAGAAAGAGGAAGGGAGGAGGAAAGAAAGAAGAGAGGAAAGGGAGGTGAAGGCAGAGGAGGGAGGGAAGGGAGGGAGGGAGGAGGGAGAAGGAAAGGGAAGGAAGGTAAGGATGAGAGAGAGAGAAAAAGAGAAAGAAAGTAATTAGTTCCTGGTGATCCAGTGTACCCACCCAGCAGAAGCTTTATGGACTACTCTAGAATGTGTTCAGCATCTGATAGCACACATTGTGGAACTTAGCCCTCATAAATCTCTAATCTCACTTCCTAAAAATAGTCACACCCCACTTTCTTGTATCTGTGATCTCCTATATCACAGATAGTCACACCCCACTTTCTTCTATCTGTGATCTCCTATATCACAGATAGTCACACCCCACTTTCTTGTATCTGTGATCTCCTATATGCAAACTGAGATGGAAAATATAAAACAGCACAGAGAGAAGAAAGAAAGTAGCTTTAAGGCAAACTAGATTCCATACATTCTTTGCCGTTCTTCCTTTTGTACATCATCAAAGAGCTGCTTGGTGAGGTTGTCCATTTTTTCTGTAAAAAGAGAATGCTTTTTGAGATATGTCTGCCAAATCAATGCCTTGATTGTTTCATGTTATGTTTCAGAAAGTCAGACTATCAGGACAATCATGTGATGTTTGCTATTAACAGGACTTACAATGACAGCATAGGTTATTTTTTATAAACAAGAAATACAGATGAGGGGGTTTCAAAATAATAATTCTCACAAATTTGTCAGGTTGGAATTATCAATAAATAGTTTCATTTATAGTACTTTTATTGGTCTGTTATTTATTAAAATAGATATATTGGCTTTGAGACAATGAATATCATTAAAAATAAATAGAAACCATTTGGGAAGAAAATGATCCATTTGTGACAAGGTTTCTCAGTCTTGGCATTATTGCTACTATGGGCTGGATAATTCTTTGCTGTGGAGAGGGGGCTGCCCATCCCTGGCTTCTACCCTCTAGAAGCCAGTAGCACCTCTGCTCCGGTTGTGACAACCCAAATTGGTTCCAGACATTGCCAAATGTCTGGGGGTGAGGCGGCAGCAAAGCTGAGAACCACTCATCTGTGATAACCAAGAAAATAATTAAATGTCTGGGAAAGAGGAAGTACAAAAAGGCAGCTGTTAACACTGAAATACAAGAGTTGCAAACACAAAGTCTGCAGACCGAGGGGCAGGACGTTCCATGGCTGTGACAACCCCACATTCCCAACACACCCGTATGCCACAGGGATCATCACAATGGGAGAAAGGCAATGCAGCCCCTCAAACGGCAATGCTCCTGTTTGCACTGAGCTGACATCTCATCCTTGAGATCTACCTCACCTCTGAGCCCCGCCCCAGAAGGAGTCCTCGGGGTGCAGTGTCGACAGCGATTCTCCAAATTACTTTTTTTTTTAAGCCAACGGTTTAATAGTTTGTCTAACGTAGTGCCAAATGTTTCTGAATCAAAATGACTGCTTCAGAACGTTGTGAGGCAGCCAGGAAATACTGGGGGAAATGCTCAAGCTTTAATTTAGAAGCCAACACGTTTGATATAACTTCAATTTTCAATTAACCAAAAGCACTGGCTTTAATTCTAGTGCTTACCATCTTGGGTCATTTGCAGATGGGCTACAGAAGCTGCTCGAATGTGATTTACTTCTCAAGGGGAACGGGATTATGTCCATGTTAAGTCAGAATCTCAAAAAGGGGAAACAGCATTTGAGAGCATCCCTGGGTCTTAGGTCACAAGCATAGGTAAAGGTTGGTGCTGTTCACAAAACACTGTTTGCCAGGAGGGGGGAGGCGCACAGGATAAGCAGTTTATAAATATTACGTTGAAAGTTTTCATGGACTTGTTGGAAGAGGATATAAAATTACTCACCCAAACATGACATGGTCTCAGAAACATCATTTTCAGGTTATATTCCTGAGAATGTAAATGCCCTTGTGGGAAATTCTACTTGAAATTAGGGGGGAAAAAAACCCACAACCACCACCCAAGAGGAGTGTGCTGTAATAAAAAGGGTGGAGGTGGGGAAACCCTTTCCTAACTCAGGTTCAAGGTTTACTCCCGGACCTCTGACATGCTCCTGTTCATCTCTGACATTCGCATGGCTCCGGTGCCCACACCATCAGCCCTACAGAGACGGGGTGGAGGGCACACACTACCTGGAACAGGAGGGCACAGCCTTTCCTGCCCCAGTGCCCTGGCGTCAGGTTGTTTACTCCCTCTTCACTAACATTCGCTCCTCCCGCTCTCTGCCCTGAACTCCCAGGGCTCTGTGCTCCTCTGGCTCCCATCATATCCACCATCTGCTGGGCCGGAGGTGTGTGCAGAATCCCCAGGCCTGAACCCTCGTGCTCCTGCCGCCCCCAGGTTGGAGCTCAAGGAAGAGATCCCTAGGCAAGATCACTGACAGTGGTGATTTAAACTATGTGGTCAGGGACCGCCAGGCTCTGTTGCCTGTTGCATTTTCTGGGATACAGCAAGCAAGTATTGTCGAGTTGAATTTGAGCTGAAAAGCTCAAATGTATAGAGCTAGGCTAAGCATAGCTGTTCCACACCCCTAAAGGAAGTGATACCTACCGGTTCCAGGGTCTGCCCTTCACTCTGGGCAGGACAGTAGCAGAGGACATGGGTATCACTTAGGCTAATTAACTCTGACAGATCTGAATTTTTTCTGCAAATCTTTGGTGAGCACCAAACATGACCACAGCATTACTCTGACTGCACATCACGATTACCATGAAAGTTTTCTAAAATTGGACGTCTGAACCACCTCTGACACCACTACACACCCATGCGCACACACAGACACACACACACCCATTTCCCGATGCAAAAGCTCCGGGCTCATGGTCCGACCATCTGCACTTTGCAAAGGGCCCAGCAAGTTCTGAGGCACAGAGAGGAATTGCTGTGCTGTCTGACAAAAGACGGAAATAAAATAGACGAATCTGTAGGGCAAAGTTACCACGACTTAAATATGGCTATTCCTTGTGAGCAAAAATTGTCTCCCTAAACTAAGTGTACACCAGAGACCCCTGGTTCTAAAACTGGTCACCCCCAGTACTGTTTACTGAGTGACTAAATCAGTGAATGTCTGGATTTGTGCTCCCCGAGCTTTACCTTTCAACTCTTCAGTCTTCTCTTGAAGCTTCAGCTGTATTTGGTCTTTCTGTGTTTCCAGTTCTGAATTATGCTTCTGAAGCTTTGCCAACTTCTAGCAGAGGGAAGGGGAAAAAACAAACTTTTTTTGAAAACCTCACTTCAAGCTGTCACCATTGCCTTTCTTGGCAAAAAGATCTCTATTCTTAAATTAGTTTATTTTTTCTCAGCTCCTGTCCATAGATAACAGCTAGCACCAGCCCACTGTAAGACGCTGCCATTAGTTTCACATGCAAGGGCTCAACATGACTTCAAAGGTGACACTATTCCCGACCTGGCCAGCAAGGGCTGAAACAAGGAGAAAGGATACATCCAAGACCTCCTCAATGTCAGGGACATACCTCTTCCTTTTGCCGAGCTTCTCAATAGCCAGGGGACTTTATATATCGAATATGCTACGATTACGCAGTTGATGGCGTAAAGGGATTCACACTTTGCAATTGTTATGACTCACGAAGGATGTGTGAGCGCAGCAGAATTCCTATCATTTTGGCTTCTCCTGGTAAAGTGTCTGCTGGGCTGGCAGCAGGCCCGTGGTGCTGACTGATGGTGACTGGCAGCTGGCGATGCCCACGGCAGCAGTGTTGGTGCACCCAGCATCGGGGCATGGGGAGGGCAAAGGGATGTCTTCTGGGCCTCCAATCCACCAACCCTGGGTGCTAGGACTTTGAAAATGCAGCAGAGGCCGGGTGCAGTGGCTCACGCCTGTAATCCCTGCACTTTGGGAGGTCAAGCGGGGGTGGATCACTGGAGGTCAGGAGTTCGAGACCAGCCTGGCCAACATGGTGAAACCCTACCTCTATTAAAAATACAAAAAATTAGCCGGGTGTTGTGGTGTGTGCCTGTAATCCCAGCTACTCCTTGGGAGGCTGAGGAAGGAGAATTGCTTGACCCCGGGAGGCAGAGGTTGCAGTGGGCTGCAATCGTGCCACTACACTGCACTCCAGCCTGGGTGACAGAGCGAGACTCCGTCTAAAAAAAAAAAAAACAAAAACCCAAAATGCGGCAGAGTGGATGGTAATAAAGATCACCTTCTTAGAACACACTGGCTCACACTTTTGCAGGGACTCACCACAGGCATTTGGCTAACTTATTTCATCTGACCATTTTATTCTCACAAAATTCTGTCAATCTCTTTTTGTTATTCTCATTTTATACAGGAGGAAACTAAAGTTCATTATGGTAGGCATTTGGCTAAAGTATTTCATCTGATGATTTTATTCTCACAACAATTCTGTCAGTCCTTTTTTGTTATTCTCATTTTTTTATATGAGGAAACTAACATTCAGAGAGGGTAAGGGACTTTAGCCAAGGCTGCCCAGCCAGACAAAGGCAAGATTTGAATCTAGGGCATCTGGTTTTTATGCTGACTGCTGTTTTCACTACACCAGAGATGAAAACCCTACCCTAGCTTCGCATCGCTGTTCAGGGGAAGATGTTTCCAGGGCACAGACCTTAAGGACAAGTGAGAGGAGACCAAGGTCATCCTGGAAGAAAGGGAAGCAGCCAGCCAGGGCTCTTTGGGCCTATCATCACTTTGCAAAACTCGAAAGAGAAAACCTGTGTTGCATTTCTCTCTTTATTAACCGCCTCCCTTCCCCTAGACTCTAATCCTCTGATCTCAAAAGGTAGGCTCCCTTTGGTAATGGAAGTTGATAGCAAAATCTGATTTGCTGGCCGGGCGCGGTGGCTCAAGCCTGTAATCCCAGCACTTTGGGAGGCCGAGACTGGTGGATCACGAGGTCAGGAGATCGAGACCATCCTGGCTAACACGGTGAAACCCCGTCTCTACTAAAAAAAAATACAAAAAACTAGCCGGGCGAGATGTCGGGCGCCTGTAATCCCAGTTACTTGGGAGGCTGAGGCAGGAGAATGGCGTGAACCCGGGAGGCGGAGCTTGCAGTGAGCTGAGATCCGGCCACTGCACTCCAGCCTGGGCGACAGAGCGAGACTCCGTCTCAAAAAAAAAAAAAAAAAAAAATCTGATTTGCTCTGCAGAAATCCACTTCATAGGAAAAGCCTGCAGCGCTCATCTTTTCCACAGAGAGTCCTCGTGTTTCCATCCCGTCTCACACGCCCGCAGCTGACCTCTTCCACAGCATCCCTGTATCTCTTCCCCTTCTCCTCATAATTTCGCCTGTGGGCGGCTGCTCTTTCTAGTTCTGCTTCCAGCTTCTGAATCTTTTCCACATCCCCGGCTCGAAGAGCAGCCAGGCTGGTCAGCTTCTCCACCAGCCCATGGTTTTCTTTGTTCTAGAGAAAAGAAAATTCAGATGTTTAGAGGTTTATTCAAACAAAGACACTATTCCATTTAATTCTCATAGCCTTTGACACGGCATCCAAATTTGAGAGGTTGCTTTACGCTGATCACACTTATCACTGCACTGACATTTGTTAGCATCTTCTCTGTGGTGAAACAGTATGGCAGATCTTGCTGGGTCCATGTCTTCCCAAACTGGTGGCTATTTTAATGTGAGAAGTTTCCAATTCTGGTGAACCAGGACAACCTTAGTGTTACAGGCTGAACTGTGCCCCCCAAAATTCATTTGTTGAAGTCTTAACCCCTGAACTTAGGAATATCGCTGTTTTGAAGACAGGGTCTTTAGAGAGGGAATTAAGGTAAAACCAGCCCTCGGGGTGAGCCCTAGTCCAATATGATTGGTGTCCTTAGAAGAAAAGGGGATTACGACACAGATACAGGCATGGAGGGAAGATCATGTAAAGACAGACAGAGGTGGCAGCCATCTACAAGCTAAGGAGAGACGCCGCAGAAGAAACCAACCCTGCCAAAACCTTGATATGGGACCTCCAGCCTCCAAAACCGTAAGACAGTAAATTTCTCTTGTTTAAGCCACCCAGTCAATGATACTTTGCTATGACAGTCCTAGCAAACTAACACACCCAGGACAGGCAGCATCGGTACTCCCACCAGGCATTGCTCCTGGCCGGCTGCGGCTATTTTTAAGTGTTATTCTGCACAAGCTGTGTAGCAGGCAGGCCTGTTACACAACAGCACACTGAGGGAAACCCCATCAGATGCCAAATCTATTTGTTCACCCACTCACCCTTTCGTTCAGGACCCCTGTGGTACAGCTTAGGGCTAAGTTTAAAGCTCACCTTAGGAGAGCCTCAGGATTAGTGGAGACAGGCCTGCGAGTGAGTTTTATGGATCTGGACACTGTGTGTTCCACAGCATACGGCTGTTTCTTTTCTTTTCTTTTTTGTTTGCTTTTTGAGATGGAGTCTCACTCTCTGTTGCCCAGGCTGGAGTGCAGTGGCACAATCTCAGCTCACTGCAAGCTCCACCTCCCGGGTCCACACCATTCTCCTGGCTCAGCCTCCCGAGTAGCTGGGACTACAGGTGCCCGCCACGACACAGCCGACTCAGTTCACTGCACAGCTCCGCCTCCCGGGTTCACGCCATTCTCCTGCCTCAGTCTCCTGAGTAGCTGGGACTACAGGCGCCCGCAACCACGCCCGGCTAATGTTTTTTGTAATTTTTACGTAGAGATGGGGTTCACTGTAGCCCAGGATGGTCTCGATCTGCCTACCTTGTGATCTGCCTCTGCCTTGGCCTTCCCGAAGTGCTAGGGAATTTACAGGCATCGAGCCAACCAC